AGCAATTGATCTGCCGCAACCATTGCAAAACTCTGTCCTCAATTTCACTCCTGCATCCTTTTTGTATATTACCTGCTATTTCCGAAGACATATCTTGTATGTCAGAATAAAACACTATTAGTTCGTATGAAGTCGGCATCTGTAATGAAAATCGTGAAGTCAGTGGATACCAAATCACTTGCTGTAGTAAACGCCTTTGTCTAGGAGACAGACAGGTCACTATTAAAACAGGAAAGATTATCTTTAGCTAAATTGGCAAAGCAGTCATAAGTTCTAAAGACGGGGGGATAACGGTACAAAATTAATACGCATGCAATAATACTAGTTGTAAGTGGAACAGGAATCAACTTAAATAATAAGATAATAGAAGAACAAAATATGCACAAACAAGCAATTTAGGAACGTTCTAAGGTTTTATATGGTACGCAGTCGATACAAGAATACCTCACGGTTAGTTATAACCCGTAAGATTTAAAAAAAGATAGATTGTTCACTTAATTTTATTTATTGCTGCCCATTTTGTTTCCGGCAGCCAACCTTGTCATCTGACCAAGCTCAAATTGTGAAATGCAACACTAAGGAGTGGATCGGCAGAATCGATGAAGATTGATTTGAGATACTCGTCATTTGGTTCGAATTTAATTTTAAATTTCTTTAAATCATAGTTAGTGAATATTAGTTCACTTCTGAAAAAACCCCACCCGATTTGACACAAAACACATCATTGCGCAGTAATTTCAACGCCAAGCAACTTCAACCAATCAGAACTTGGAATTACAAATACTGCACCAAACATTGAGGTATATGACGTCATCCCTTTCGGTGTTGTCCTTTTTTAGGTTATACGATATAACCCGAAAAGTCTTCCATTAGGGGAAAATCAACATATAAATTATTGTAGTATATCTATAAATGCTGACATACATTGCAATATTCCCAATTTCATAAACCTAAGACGTCTACCGTATAAAACTGGGGAAATTATGTGTAACATTTGTTGGATTTAAAAACAGGTCGTCCATATTGAACATAAAGAAATTGTGTACCATCAGCTATCAACATGTTGCCATTTTCTGGTGAACAGCTCTAAGGTAGCATTACCTTTCTTTGCCACGTAATGTTTTGTAATATAAAATGTTAATATACATACAAAGAATAAAACACATATATAGACTGAGTAAATCGTGATATGATATCGTAAAAAGATGTTCGACTTAATGAAGCGGTATCGCAAATAATGATATTGTGGTTACCTTTCCGTACTAGTTTTGATGTAATCCGACACATCTGTTTCACTGTATGAGTATATATAAACGTGATAGATCACAGGTCAGCACTTTAACCATTCCTCAGTTAAGTAAAAAGGTTTATTAAATGAATGAAACATTTAAGAGACTGCTCTGAAGAAACATCGGGTAAGTACGTTTGTGATAATTCATTCAAAACATCGGATTCAAACGTTGTATTAATGTATTGAAGAAAGACATGAGATAAGTACTAGTACTAGTTTATACCATTTGCTGTAAAGAAAAGGTGTAAAGTAATGTTATTAAGAGTTTTATATAACCACGTTCCTTTTCTCTATATTCTGCATGCACGTTTCGGAACACATGGGTATGAGTTAAATGAGTAAATACGCAGGCAGTATTTTCATGAAAACAACACCGATTAAGCATGTTATAAGTACTTATTGAAGAGTATATCGGTAGGTATGCTAGAGGTACTTACTAAAGAGAATATCAGTATGTATGTTGGAGGTACTTACTGAAGAGTATATCGGTAGGTATGTTGGAGGTACTTACTGAAGAGTATATCGGTAGGTATGCTAGATGTACTTATTGAAGAGTATATCAGTAGGTATGTTAGAGGTACTTATTGAAGAGTATATCGGTAGGTATGTTAGAGGTACTTACTGAAGAGTATATCGGTAGGTATGCTAGATGTACTTACTGAAGAGAATATCAGTAGGTATGTGGGAGGTACTTACTGAAGAGTATATCGGTAGGTATGTTAGAGGTACTTACTGAAGAGTATATCAGTAGGTATGTTAGAGGTACTTACTGAAGAGTATATCGGTAGGTATGCTAGATGTACTTATTGAAGAGTATATCAGTAGGTATGTTAGAGGTACTTATTGAAGAGTATATCAGTAGGTATGTTAGAGGTACTTACTGAAGAGTATATCGGTAGGTATGCTAGATGTACTTATTGAAGAGTATATCAGTAGGTATGTTAGAGGTACTTATTGAAGAGTATATC